GGCCCCCCGAAGGACCCTCGGGGAAGCTCATTCCTAACTTCCTTGCTCCGGTGCTGTAGGCTGGGGAGCCGCGCCAGAAACTGAATGTCGGCTCGTCCCGCGGCAGAGCGGGTTGCTCACACTGGTTCCAGCGCTGGGGGGGCAGGCCTGCCGGCTTCTCCCTTCCCCTGCTCTCCTTCCTCTGGCTTCTCGGGTGGGGTGAGCACAGGGGTGCATCAGCGGTGCTTGTGGGGTTCTTCCAACCTCAGCCTCCCCTACTCCGCGTGGGGTATGTTTTCCTCCTCCTCCCATCCCTTTCTGTTGCAAAGCACTCTCATGAAAAGGGTTGTGTGTGTGTGTGTGTGTGTGTGTGTGGTGTGCATCTACAACTGCAGCACTCTGGGAGGCTGAGGCAGGAAGCTGGCAAGCTCAAGCTCAGCCCAAACAACTTCATGATTTAGTGAGACCCTGTCTCAAAGTAAAAAATAAAAAAGTTTTGGGGGTATGGCTCAGGGCAATAGCCCTGGGATCAATCCTCACTGTTGTACACACACACACACACACACACACACACACACACAACCAAACCAAAATGAAAACAAAGGAGACTTCTGAAAGGAACCCGCATGGCACGACACAGCCCCTGGGTGGCAGCAAAACTAAGGCAAAAGCGCAGGGCTGGGTGGAGGGTGCTGCTTCTCAGCCCTCAAAGGAGCGACCCTTCTGTCTCGCAGGCGGGGCACACAGAGCTGGTGGGGCAGCCGGCTTGCTGCCCGGCCGAGGCCAGCGTGCAGGGCCGCGAGAGGGTCATGCCCGGGGAAGAGGGGGCCAGCGGCTGCCTTTTGTCCGGGGGCAGATCTTGGCCGCCTGCTTCAGGTCATTTAAGCTCCAGCATCGAGCTGGGCCTGGCGCCGGGCACAGCATCCTCCTGACTGTCCAGAGGAGACGGGTGGCATCTCATCCAGGGACGAGTGCCCCCCAGCTAGCAGCTCAGAGCTGGTACCGATTCTGGGCGGCCTTGTGCCTGGACCGTAACCGGATTGGCGCTCACGGTCACAACGTCCTTTGTCACGGGGACTGCCCCGGGGACGGGTGGGCGGCGGGAGCAGAGCCGGGTGCGCAGTGGCACTCAGACACGCACAGGCTGGTGTGACTTCTGCTCCCCACGGCCCCTTCTCTGAACCTCCTTCCCGCTCAACGGCCATCGCAGTCCAGCATCAGAGGGCCACTGAGGGTCACAGGACACCGAGGATTGTCAGCGAGAGGGTTTGCAAAGTCAGGGACGTGCTTCTCACGCCGTTCCCGTGACTCAGGCTGGAGGAGAAGTGAGGGCTGAGGTTCGGGTCGGGGGGGGGGGCCCGGGACACAGCCACTGTGCTGCTGACCCACGGTGTGCCCTGGGCAGGTCCCCGCTCGCTGAGCCTGGTTCCCACACTGCACCCTGCGGGCAGTAATAGCGCCTAGGCATGGCGCTGCTGTGAAGCTGAAGGAATGTTCAGCTCCGTGATTGGGCAGGGGAGGCGCTGCTGAGCGCTGGCTGTGCTGCCAGTCATGACTGGGGAGGGTGTGGACGCTGGCTCCCAGACTCGGAAGGCGCTTCCATCCGGACCCAGAACCGCAGCCGGGGACGCCACTGTGAGAAGGCCGGGAGCTGGGGTGTTCTGAGGGCCCTGGGAACTAACTCACGTATCTCTTACTCCACCCCCACACCCATCCTCTATCCCTCCATCCATCCATCCACCCATCCATCTACGCACCCATCCAACCATCCACCTAGCTGTCCATCTGTTCATCCATCAATCCCCCCATCCATTTATTCATCTATCCACCTATCCATTCATCTATCCACTCACCTGTCAATCCATCAGTCTGTCCATCCATCCACCTATCCATCCACCTATCCATCCACCTATCTACCCTCCCATCCATCCTTCCATCCTTCACCCACATGTCTGTCCATCTGTCCATCTACCCACCAAGCCACCCATCCATCCATCCACTCACCCATCCATACATCCACCCATCTCTCATTCCTCACATGTCTATCTATCCATCCATCCACCCACCCATCCACCTGTCCATCCATCTCTCATTCACCTACATGACTATCCGTCCATCCATCCCTCCCTCCATCCACACATTCATCTATCCACCTATCCGTTCATCCATCCACTCACCTGTCATTCCATCAGTCTGTCCATCCCTCCACCTATCCATCCACCTGTCTATCCTCCCATCCATCCATCCATCATTCACCCACGTCTGTCCATTTATCCATCTACTCATCCATCCACCCACCCATCCACACATCCATCCATCTCTCATTCCTCACGTCTATCCATTCATTCATCCACCCACCCATCCACCTGTCCATCCATCTCTCATGCACCTACATGACTATCCATCTATGTATCCATCCATCCATCCACCCACTCATCCATCCATCTTTCACTCCTCATGTCCATCCATCCACTGACACAACAAATTAAAAATAAACTAGTAAGTCTTGTCCTCTGAATCCAAGTGGAGCCTCTAACCAACAGGAGACGGAGCCCGGGATATCAGGGTTCCTGACGAAGGCCTCGTAAGCTCCTGCGGTCTTTAAAAGAGTGGAAAAAACAGCACCTGGAGAGGGGCCAAGGCAGACGCTGTCCTGAGGGGAGGGGCGGCAGTGGGAAGCCAGGGTCAAGGCCACGCCGCGGTCCAGCCCTGCGCCCTGTGCAGCCTTCGGCCCACCAGAGGGAAGGGGAGGGGTGCAGGCCTGGTGGCTGCGCACACGCACAGCCTCGGAGCCGCAGGGAGGGCCGTGTCATGGAGGCACGCCACGCCTTCCTCCAGGTGCTGGGCCCTGCGGTCCCCTGTGAGCTGGGAACCCGAGGAGCAGTGGGACCACGCCCTGCCGCTGTCACCAGTGGCTGTGCAGCCCCAGGGTGAATGCATTGTTACGTTTATTTTTTACTTTGAGACAGGGTCCCACTAAATCACTGAATTGCCTCTCTGGGATTAAACCTGCGATCCTCCTGCCTCAGCCTCCCAGAGTGCTGGGACTACGGGTGTGGGCCATCATGCCTGGCTCTAATTTAATTTTTTTGGTTTTGTCTTTTTGAGACGGGGGGGGTCTCACTATGCAGTTCAGGCTGGACTTGAACTCACTTAGGTAGCCCAGGCTGGCCTCGAACTTGCAATGATCCTCTTGCCTCAGCCTCCCGAGTGCTGGAATGATACGCCTGTACCACCATGCCTGGCTCTAATTTAATTTTAATTAAAAATCTAACTTTTTTTTAACTTTCACTGCTGGGGGGACATTGAACCCAAGCCTTTGAGTCTGCTAAGCGCGTGCTTTGTCCTGGGCGGCATCCCAGCTGCAGTCCCTTCGGGGGACAGGCTCAACGCCCCTCTCCTGAGAGGTGACTCAGGCGGGGCGCCACCCCATCTCTCCAGGGAGGGGCATGGGGTGCCTGTCCCTCCCCTGCCCCCAGGGCCTGGCTGAGGAGGGGCCCCAGGCATCCCGGCTTGCTGGGGAGGTGAGACCAGCGCTGTAACCCTGCTTCGAGCCGGAAGCCGGCCGGCTGGGGCTCCCCGCTTCATGAGCTGAGACAACCGCGCAAGGCCGTCCTCGTGAGAGCGCCATTCAGCGCCCCGTGTGAGTGGCCTGGTGCCAGCTTGGCCCTTCAACGGCTCTACGGCCCTGCGGGGGCTGCGGCGTGCCCCGGGCAAGCTCTGCTCACCGCACACTCCCAGGGCAGGGTGATGCCAGGACGGGGCGCCGTGCGGATGCCACGGGCAGGGTGACCTCGCCCTCGCTGCTGTGTGACGTGAGTGCAGTCCTCAAGACTCAAGGCCTGTTTTCTTCTCTGGAAAACGCAGAGCACTCACCTCTGAAGGCCCTGAAGCGAGCCGGTGAGTTTCCCCGTGCAGTAGAGCCAGGCGGAGGAGCCACGGAAGTGGCCATTTTCCCAGGTCAAAGGCAGTTGAATGCAAACAGGATAAGTAACACAAACAAGGCCGCTACATCTACCTTTAATTAACCGATTCAGTTTGCGTTGAGGAATATGCTTCTGTGATGGGCCTATTTAACGACAAAAGGAAAAAGCCATTATTTATTTATTTATTTATTCATTTAGAGACAGGAACTCACTCTGTCATCCAAGCTGGCCTCAAACTCATGGTGATCCTCCTGCCTCAGCCTCCCAAGTGCTGGGATGACGTGTATATACCACCTCTCCTGGCTTAAGAGTCAATGTTTTAGTGATGCGATTTAAGTAACCTTTGAAAATACAGCAGAGAAAGGCTGGCAGGGGGATGCGGCACCTCCCTGGCAAACGGTCTGTAGGGAACGATCGTTCGGTCAGAAGCCCGGAGGAGGGGCTCCGCCCAGGTTCGCAAGGCGGTGGGTGAGTACAGGGAGGAGCTGGAGTGGACGCGTGTCCAGCGGGGCGGGTGGCAGCTGAGGCAGACGGACAGGGCTCAGGACTGCGCGGCTGCGGAGAGCACAGCCGAGTGACGTGAGACCCAGAGTCACAGGGCAGCAGAACCTGGCTGTGAAATACACCAGCGCAGCCCTGTGACGGCGGAGGCCCTGCTTGTGCTGGATGGGAGAACGGGAAGAGCCGGGCGGGCGGTGCGCAGCTGTCATCTCAGCACTCTGTGAGGCTGAGGCGGGGTGCGGGGATCCAAAGTTCAAGCCCATCCTAGGCAATCTGGTAAATGAGTGGGATCTTGTCTCTGTCTCAAAGAAAGAAAGAAAGAAAGAGAAAGGGAGGGAGGGAGGGCGGGCGGGCTTGGGATTTAGTGAAGGCTGAGGCAGGAAGATGGAGAGTTCAAGGCCGGCAATTCAAGCTACACAGGGTTTGACTGAAGTCGGCCTGGACAACGGTGAGAACGTGTAACAATCCCAACCACCAGCACCACCCGCACACACGCGGGGAGGAGGAGCGGGGGAGCGTGGGAGACCGGGACGAGCGGTCGGGTGCAGGCGCTGGGGACGAGGCCCGGTGCAGGGCGGGTTGGACGCGCCCGGGAGTAAACCGAGTCCCGCTGCGGGCTCAGCAGGCGCAGCCTGCGCCCAGCCCGGCCGGGGAGGCTGCAGAGGCGGCCGCTCGGGTCCCCCGGTTGGCACATTTGGGCTGCATGCGGCCCTGGGAACGAGGCTGACGTGAGTTATGTGAAGTCACGTCATGGGACGCTCTTACCCCCGAGTCCCCCGGGCTTAAAGTCCCAGATCCATCTCTCCTCAGCCCCGTGGGTCCCGGCCGCAGGGATGTGGGCCTGGCCTGTACCTGGGGCAGCTCTGCTCCCGTACCAGGGGGAAATGAACCCGGACGCTGCGGGCCGGCTCCCTCCGGGCCTCTGCGTTCATTTCCCGCTGGAGCAAATCACGCTGGCAGGTGGCAGGCGTGCGTGGGGCGGTACGACCCCTCCCCAGGGACCCACAGTGAATTCCTTCGTGCAGTCACATCGCCAGCCCCCCAAGGGGAGTGGCTGAGCCAGGCCTGGACACCAAGCTGCACCTGGGGAGGGCAGGGCCGAGGTGGCAGAGGTGAGAGATGGGGTGGCAGGAGTGTGGGACAGCTGCAGGGCCCATGTGTCACCTGCACACCGGTCCGATCTCCCAACCCCCTCCACCCTCAGGCGTCCTCCAAGGCCAGCACACCCCTGGGATCCCTGCCCTGCAGAGCCGATCACCCCTTCTCTTTTTGTCCTGGACTCTTTTATTCCTTTTGACTGGATTTTTTCCCCTTGACTTAAAAAAACAAAGAACAATTTTGTTAAGCCACAGCTCATATACCATACAAATCACCCATTTTTGTTCGCTTTGAGACAGGGTCTTGCTGTCCAGGTTGCCCTGGAACTCACTATGCAGTCCAGACTGACCTCAAACTCCTGGCGATCTTCCTGCCTCAGCCTCCCAAGTGCTGGGATGACAGTCATGTACCACCATGCCCAGCGACAATTCACTATTTAAGCTGCACAATTTGATGATTTTAGTATACTCAGATGGACGCAACTGTACCTATAATAATTTCAGGACGTTTTCATCACTCCATAAAAAAACAAAACCACACAAAAAATGCCAGTGCACATGCATGGACACACACACACAACAAAATGAAAACAACATACAGCACACACAACACACAAATACCAGCCCCTAGAACACAGCCGCTAGCAATCACTGTCTCCCAGGGCTCCCCACCCGCCCTGCCCCGGGCAGCCTGGAGGCCACTTCGCTGCTACGGCTTGGCCTGTTTCGGTGTTTCATGTAAACGAAGCCACACAGGGCGCTGCTTGCCAGGCAGAGTGTGAGCGTGGCCAGGTGCAGCGTGGGGCATGCGGTCGGGCACTGGCCTCTTGGACACTTCCCAGGGTGGCCAGCGGCCGTGCACGTCAGGACTGCATCTGTCTCGCTGTCATATTCCATCGAGGGCGAGGCGGGGCGGGAGCAGGGGACCTGGGCAGAAAGGAGACAAGGAAATGCAGGTTTTACAGTCAGACTTAACTGCAGCTTCAAGACCCACAAGTTACTGGAGCCTTTTCTCTCCCAGGAAGTTCGTTTAAAAAACTCCTGAAGGTCTGGAAGACACCATAGCCAGTATATGTGGCTGGCAGCGGAAGGTTGTGCTTCTTGCACCCTCAAGGAGGCAGCAGTGTTCAGGGGAGATCTCAGCTTCCCATACCCGTCCATGGCTTGACAGTGACCCCATAGACACGACCCACATCCTGGATCACCCCCACTGCCTTTTTTTTTGTATTTTGAGACAGGATCTCTATGTAGTTCAGGCTGGCTTTGAATTCACTATGTAGCCCAGGTTGGTCTTGAACTTGGGGTGATCCTCCTGCCTCAGCCTCCTGAGTCCTGGGTTGCAGGCGTGCGCCACCACGCCTGGCTCTCTTTGTGCTTTGCATGGCGTATTGACTGATTTATCTTCAAACTCAGATTCTTTCTTCTGTCAGCTCACATCTGGTTTTGCATGCCTTTGCTGTATTTTCATATTGATTGTGTACTTTTATCTCCAGAATTTCCATTCGGCTCTTTAAAAAAATATTCTTTGTCTTTCTCTCTCTCTCTCTCTCTTTCTCTCTCTCTCTACCTCATTTGGACGAGCGAGGGCTGTTGTGTCTTCCTGTCCTGCGAGCAGGTGGACAGGTCCTGCAGCCTGTGTGCGTCCAGCCTGCGCCCTCTAGTGGGCAGGGTCTGCCTTGCACCCTCTTCTGGGGCAGGGCTTCCGTTACTCTCCTGCCTTACAATCTTGCCCGCAGGCTGGACTCTGGGGACCGTCTTGGAGGAGCCCTGAGCTGCTTCTTTCTTCCCTCTGTGGTTCATTTCTGTGGTTGGCTGTGTGTTGATTTGTTGAGTGACTGGGCCGAGCTACTTCCCTGAAACCTCTGATGCCCCTCCTGAGGGTGGCCCGGGCACCAGAAGTCCCCCTGTGGGGAGGGCGGTGGGTGGCTCTCTGATTTGCTAGGCTGCGTATCTGCCGGTGTCAGCCCCGAGGGAAGTGCGGTATCGTCTGTCTTCGTCACTGTCTCCTCACTGAGACTGTCTGAACCCTACAGCTCCGAGGGAGAGCGGTCTACTGCGGCTCACGGTCTGTAGCAGTTTCAGCCCCTAGTCGGCTGGCTCCAAGGTGTGGCCGTGATGGAGGAGGGACAGCCCCTGGCAGGGCAGCAGGCAGCGGAGAGATCAAGGGAGGAGGAGGGAGGCCAGCGCCCAGGCCATGTCCGTGCTCCACCTCCTCCACCTCCCACCCTCAGGACGAATCCGCCCTGGTGAGTACCTCAGCCGTGCCCCAGTCACCTCCCCAAAGCCCCACCATCGAGCAGGAGGCTTGGGGGGCATCCAGATATAAAGCATGGACACCCCCAAACTGTCATCTGACTGTTCCGTCTGGAACCTATTTCCCTTCGAGGTCTAATCTAAGCGAAGTCGGGCCCCTTCACAACATTTTTAAAGGCAAGACTTGGGGGTTGCTCTGACCCGAGGGGCTCCCCCTGCTGTGTCAACAGCAGCTCACGGTGTCCCCTGTTTCTTTCTTACGGCTCGCCAAAACCATCTCCATCGCTAGCGACAGCACCCTTGGGTCGAAGTTCCAAGAAAATCTGTTTCCAGTGACATCGGTTCCCCGGGCACAGCTTGGGGACCCTCTCGCTGGAATCTCCGCCCCTTCCCGCAGCTGGGGACAGGGACGCCGGCCCGCTTCTTGGGTGAGGGTGGCTGCATCTGCCCTTCTGTCTTCTGCCCGTCTGGAAGCAGGGTGGGGCACAGCCAGGTCCCCGCGCCCTCTCTGTGGCGCCTGGGGTGAGGCTCTTCCGGGTGGAGCAATCGAGCCCCCCGAGTTTGCCCCCGTTTCCAGGAGGCCGGGCCAGGGTGGCCTCTCTCTCCCAGTGAAAGGGCGGCTCCATGGCCCGGGAACGCGGGGGGAGAAGCCCCGTTTCTGGGGCCGCACCTGCCCGTGGCCGCGCTCCTGTTGTCTTTCTGGTTCAGCGGTTGCTGACACTGATCTCCTAGTTCTGTTTGGACCGCAGGAGATCCCGGAATACACAGTTCCTGTCTCTGGCCCTGGGCGCCTGCCGGCCACGAGGAGTGCCCTTCTGCCCGCTGTCCCCACCCCATCAGCTGTCCCCTGGCTCCTCCGCCAGCCCGCTCGGGTCACACAGCACCTGCTTCTAAGGGCGCCAACCTCCCCGCCTCCACCGGGAAGCCAGAGCGCGTGTTTGCCTTTCCGGGCTTCTGTTACTCCTCTTCCCCCAACCTCGGTGAGGCTTGCCTGGGTGGCCAAGAGGCACAGGACTTCGTTCTTTTTCGTTGCCGAATACTATTCCATGGTGTCTAGGAACCACTGCAGGGACGGGGGCTCCTTTTTATGTCTAATCAAGCTTTGGGGTTTAATATTTTTACTTTAATCAACTTTCTTTTTGGTTATACTTTCCTGCTCGGCATTTTAGACTAAGCGAAAGTAAGACCTGTGCTAATCAAAATCAGTCTATCTCCCTATCCATTCATCTGTCGATCATCTATCTATCATCTATCCATCATCTATCCATTCATCTATATCTATCAATCTATCATCTATTAAACATCTATCAATCATCTGTCTGTCCGTCCATCTCTCTCTCTATCATCACCTATCACCTACCTCTCCCTCTCTCCCTCTCTCTCTCTCACACACACACCTGTCTACCTATCTGTTGTTTGCAGTTCATAACGATTACCTTCATCGCGGGCGCTGGCGCGTGCGCATAACGCAGTTTCACGCTCGATTCCCTCCCTGCGCCCCACCTCCTGTCCCTGTCCCGGAACCGGAAGTCCTGGGCGACGGTGGCGAGGCTGGGGTGCTGTCCCGCCATCGGCCACGAGGTGGCAGCGGGCGCCCAGCGGCGCGGCTCCGGACTGGCCGCGGTGTGCGAGGACCCTCGTCCGCGTCCAGCGCCGTCTCCCCTGGTGGCCGCGGGTCCTCCCATGTGCCGTGTTCCCTGGACAGTGCGGAGCGGCAGTGTTGAGGGTCACCCGAAGAGCAACCGGACGATCCCTGCCCTGTCCGAGCCGCGGCCGCCGACACTGCCCGCAGTGTCACGGCGTTGCGGAGGGCGCGCAGAGCTGGGCGGGCGGATGGGCCGGTGAAGCTGGTGTAGGAGCCGCAGTCCGGGCGCGCGCGGGAGCCGGGTCACGACTCCCCAGCCCGCGGGAGACTCACAGCAGCTTCAGGCACCGGGGAACTGCGGCACCAGCATCCGGCTCCGGGCCCTAGGGCATCCTGCTGGGAGGCTGAGGCAGGACGGTTGCAAATTTGAGCCCAACCTGGCCAGCCTGGTGACTTAGAAAGACCCCGTCTCAAAACAAAAAAATCAGTTTAACACAAGGGCCGGCGATGGCGCTGCGTGTGAAGACCCTGGGATCCACCCCCGCACCTCAGTAAAATGCTAAAAGGCACGGAGCTCCCCAGCGCTCAGACCTCGAGCAGCTGCCGGAGTGAGTTCTGCCTCGGGGTCCAGGCACGGTCTTCCTGCCTTGGTCTCTGCGCCGAACCTTAAACGTCAACTCTGACAACCGCCTGTTCCACTGGGGAAACTGAGGCTCTCGGAGGGACAGTGGCAGAGCCCGGATTTGAAAACAACCCCCGACTCTAGTGCTGCCTGCCTCGGGCTGGCTGTCCAGAGTGCGTGCGCTGTCAGTATTACCCATTCTCACTATTATTTTGGTGTTGTGAGACAGGGTCTCGCTATGTAGTTCCAGCTGGCCTTGAATTTATCCTGAAGCCCAGGGAGGCCTTGAGCTCACAGCGATCCTCCTGCCTCAGCCTCCAGAGTGCTGGGATCTCAGGCATGTGTCCCACGTCGGCAGCCCTGGGACTTTAAAGGACAGTATATTTTTTGAGTCAGCGCTTGGAGCACACCCAGACGCCATTCCTCGCTGGGAGCTGGTGCCCCCACAAGACATCTTACTCCTTTTCTGTGCCCTCCCCTCACTTCCATCTCTCAGTCACCTTCCCATTTGCAAAAGATTTTTTTAAAATTATCTTTTATTTTGCTCTTTAAATTATTTATACTTCAGCTTTCTCATATAAGACAAACTATGTGATATTTGAGGCACATGTCTGACTTACTTCATTTAACATTTTTTTTTTGGTACTGGGACTCGAACTCAGGACTTTGCGCTTGCCAGGCAGGCGCTTCTGCCACTGAGCCATATCCCCAGCTCCATTTAACATGAAGGTCTCATGTTGCATCCATTTTCCCACAAAGGACTCAAGCGTGTCCTTCTTCCTGGCAGAGTAGTACTCCACTTTGGTAAACATCACATTTTCTTCATAGCCTTGGGACCTTTTGAGCTCTTTCTTTTGCACCTGCAGCTTGGCTCTCTTCTTTATCTCTGAATCTCAGGCCCTTTGCTCCACTCTCTCACTGAGCTCTAACCAGCCCAGGAAGTAGATAAAGGGAAGACTCCCATTTTGTAGATGGGAAAACTGAGTCTCAAAGTGATTGAGCTCCTGGGCTGGGGGATGTGGGGGGGGGACTGTGACTTCTAGATGGCAGCACTGTCAACTGGCCCTAGCCCCTGTGCCCTAGCCCCTGTGCTCAGATCCACTGAAGGTGATGCTGGAAGGATCCAGGAGGTCTGGGGTTGGGCACCAGCACTTGCCTGTGACGTGACGTGACAGGACAGGACAGGACAGGACAGGAGGGCCCAGCCCAAGGCCCAAGGCTCTGCCCTGCCCTCCGCTCCTCTCCTCTTTTCTTTTTTCTTTTTTGAGACAGTCTCACTATGTATCTCAGGTTAGTTCATGGCGATCCTCCTGCCTCAGCCTCCCAAGTGCAATAGAGGAGATTTCTAATCGGATCAGGGAGCTGAAGTGTAGCCCTTTCTGCAGTTCCAACCATCTGAGGTGCTCCCACCCCAGGAGGAGCCAGCAGCTGGTCTCTGGGGGTGCTGGGCTTCCTCCCCTGGCCCTGAGCACCCCCACCCCCATGGCTACGTGGCCCGCTGACAGGGTCCTGCATCCTCTGCCGTGTCCGTGTCCCTGGCTTTTCAGGCTGGGCGAGCGTCCCGGGCAGCACCCAGTGCTTGGCCTGCGAGGGCCTGGCCTGCTCCCGCTCCTTCAGGCCTCTGCTTCCTCCCGGCCGCCTGCCCGGGCCCCACGGTAGCTGGAGGAGGCCAGCGACTGGAGGATGAGGGGGCGCGGGGTGCAGGCGGCGTGGCCCAGGGACACCTGACCGAGCCCTTCCTCCCTGGGCCCCTGTGCCTCAGCTGGGCAGCCCTGCCCTGCGCTCTGCCCGTCTCCTGGCCCGGTGCCCTATCTGCGAGGACTCTGCTCACCAAGTCCGCCACCGAGGGAGCCGCGGAACTCATCCTCACAGCCCGGCCAGGCTGCTGGCTTCAGCTTCTGCGGGCCACTGGCGGGGCCGCCTCGCACGGCTCGGGCCTGGGCTTCCTAAGGGTCTGGGGTGCTGGTGCCGGCGCCAGGCTCCCCACTGCGTCTTCTCGGGTGCTCTGACTCCCAGAGTCTGGGCCCGGCCCCCCCACGCTGCTGGGGCTGCAGACACGGGTCCTGCGACCCTGGGGTGACAGACACGAGACCTGGCGGGATGGGGAACAGCTTCTCAGAGAGCAGGACAGCCGTGTTCAGGGCCTGAAGCGAGAAAGTCATTCACACCCTAGCCAGAACGTCAGCGGTTACCCAAGCACTCTGCGAAGCACCAGCCTCTGCCCTCTCTGCCTCTGGCCCGGGTGAGTGTTCTCTGAGGGCTGAGGGCTTCATTTCCTCCCCACCGCTGACAGAGAGGTCAGGGGCTCTGGGTTGGGGTCTGTGGGGCTCCCGCTCAGGGCTGGGGCCCCCATGGGAGCTGCCCTGTAGGGATCTGCGGGGTGAGGGGCCAGGGCTGGGACTCGGGCCAGTGGGTTTTCCAGGCTTTGCTGTCCCCAGGACACCAAATGGTGAGGGCGGGGCGCTGTGGCCGTTGCGGGGCGGCTGACCATTTGTTTGTGGTCAGATAAGCTCTGTGTGTGTGTGTGTGTGTGTGTGTGTGTGTACGCCTCTCCGAGGGCACAGCCAGCTGTCAGGGACGCAGGGGAAGTCTCTCTGGCTCAGAGTGAGTTCAAAGCAGCCTTGCAAGGTGGGGGCTCAGCAGGAGGGGCAAGCACTGAGCACCCAGCACCGAGCACCTAGCACCGAGCACTGAGCACCGGCAGCAGCACTTTGATTCTGCCCAGGCGGGGAGTGAGGCCCTGGCTGGAGCTCCAGTGAGCAGCTCCTCCTGTCCGCCCCCGCGTTTGTGCAGCCCTGGACCCACTGCACCCGTGGGCACACCCCCCACAGCGCGTGGGCACCCTCGGGGCTCACTCTCGGGTCCCCAGGCCCCCGTGGGCCCCGCTGCCCTGCTTCGCGGCCCAGGCTGTGGACGGACGCTGACCGCTCTGGGGCCCGAGGAGGGGCTCCTTGGAGGCCTCGCCGCTTGGAGCTGCCCTCGGGGCTGGGCGCAGCCGGTGGCTGTGGTGGGGAGGCGACCCCTGGGACCCTGGGGGCTCCTGCCTGGGGGGCTCCCCCAGGGCTCCGGTTCTGGGGGCGCCGTCAAGCCTGCGGTCTCCTGGCTTCTCTCTGTCACTTTTTTCCATAACTATTTCCAGGGGCCGAGCGGGAGGTGTGGCCGTGAGCTGGGGTCCATCCCCGGCACAGCGGCTTTGCCCCGGTAGGTGCTGCTTGTGGGAGGGCCCGCGGCTCGGGCTGCCTGCTGGGCCATCTGATGTGGGGGGCGGGCGCCGGGCTGCAGCTGGCCCTTGGCCGGAGGCCGGGTCTTGTCTGTGCCCCTTCCCACAGCCCGGCTTCTCCTCGGCCCCGGGAGGCTGGAAAGCCCGCCAGGGCGCGGAGCCCCTGGGCATCCACGTTCTGAGTGGCGAAGGCCTGGGCACACGCGTTGCTCGGGGGGGAAGCAGAAGCGGGGGGCGCTCGGGGCCTCAGGCTTGGTCTTCGTCTTCCGGAGTCCGGGGCGGTCAACGCGACTCCTGCGGGGCTCACTGGCCACTCGTCCCCCTCATGCAGGTGAGACCCCGGCCTCCTCCCCAGGGACCCGAGGACCACGAAGTCCCCGCTCTGGGTCCTGTTGCTTTTCCAGCTGCTGCCAGGCAGCGAGCACTTGCGTGGGTAGCGGCACCGACTCTAAGGTGCAGACCGCTGCCTGGCCCGACCGCGTTCCCGTCCAGTCAAGGGCAGGGGCTTCGCTTCCCAGAGTGAGGGGCGGCGCGGGCCTCCATCCTCGCCGTCCGCCTTCCTGCCATGCCGCCGGGCTCCGGTTCTCACAGCGGAGCGCTTTCTAGGAGAGAATAATGATTTAGTCCTCGGGCTTCGGCTCCGGCTGTGACGGCCGTCAGCCAGGGGACCTCAGCCCCGTTCCTCGGCCTTTGTGTCTCCATTCCGAGTGGAGCCAGTGAGAGTACCCCCTTCGGAGGTGCTGTTGCTTGAAAGAGGTAATAAACGTGCATGAAATGTTAGAGGACTGCCTGGCACACAGCATGTGAGCAACGCACAGTGCTCTATTGATTTATTTATTTTGCTTTTTTGAGACTGAGTCTTGCTATGTAGTCCAGGCTAGCCTTGAACTCACAGTGATCCTCCTGCCTCAGCCTCCCTAGTGCCGGGATTTCAGGTACTTGGGCTTCCATGCATGACGCATGCTTGATTTCACTTCTCTTTTTCTGCATCTTCCGTCCCCCACCTTGTCTGTCCCCCTCTTGGTAAAAAATATAGAATTAATTCCCCAAATCTGTGACTCTGGGAATTTCTCATAAAAATCCAGA